GTGCTGCAGTTTTTGATTGTAGTTTTGTTAATTAGCAAAATGTGTGTTTGTGAAGCTGTTATTGCTCCTGATGAGGTGCATCATCATGCTCTACATCCAACTGACACTGTTTCTACTTTGTTTTAGAGCTCCGTTGCCTTACTGCAGTGCATTGGCATGTTTGAGTTTGCACTGCACACAGCTGCCCATCACAGACCCAGGCTGGAGCCACAGTGCACACTTTGGGTGCAAGCTGCCCCACTGGTGCAAGTGCAACTTCAGTGGATTCAATAAAAACGATACGGTCAATGTACAAAGCAGGAATTTCTGTGCTTATTAATGTGAAATTCTTAATATTTCTGATCATAATACCACACAAGTGACACAACTGCACTGGAGAAAACAGTTTAACAAAAAAGACAAAGGATTCGAATGAACAGTAGAAAAAGTTTATTACTGAAAAGGCATTTAAACATTCCCTTTTTAAACTGGCAGACAATCACGTCTGATTTTCATGAGTGATCTGATCACCACAAGCTCTTTCCACAGACAATGTTCACCTCCTCAGCTTTGTGCTCAAATACAAGAATATTTCAGTGTTGTAGTCTTCATGAAAATCATAGAAAAATCATCGAAAAGCATTCCCGAGCACTTCATCCATGTACTACTTAAGTAGGAAAGCCTTGGATTGATAACATTCACAAATGAAATTCTTTTCTAACATGGCGCTTTCTACAGATATGAATAATGCATCATCGACGATCACTTGCGTAAGAGGAAACTCAATAAATAACAAGGCTGCTCCAAATATTGTGGAGCGGCACAGAAAAAGTCACATTTGGCATGTCATAACCAGCTTTATATTAGTCTATTTACAGCGCTGCAGGAGATTTTTGCAGAGGTGACAAACTGTCCCTAAGAAAGTTGTCTCGGTACAAAAAGTTGCCCCTGGAGGAACACGTCAGGATGTGACGCAGGAGCAAATTGCAGCTCAGTTCCAGAGGCCCCTATCAAGGCTCTAACCTGAATACAAGCCTGCAGGAAAATCTGCACACTAGCAGATTCAATCAGCGTCCAGATCGTAGAAAATGTTGTGCTGATGCTGTTTCTCTACAGCCGACTAATCCCAGGGTTAAATATTAACTTGTTGTATAATCAACTATAAATGTCACACTGACAAAAGCCACGGCTGCTTATCAGTGGACAGGTAGTGTGTCTCTGCACAAGCGCAGTGACCCAGACCTCCAATACAAACATATTCAGCAACAGTGTTCGTCAGCACGGTGCGTTCAGCCCCAGTTTGTGCTCTCAGCAGCTCAGCCAGCAGGCTGCGCCTTTTACTTTCCAACAATCAATATTAGTCTTTATATTTGGTGCTAAAACACTTCCCACTGTGGAATTCACAGCCTGGACACTGCTGCTAATTTTATGACTCATTCTTTTACCCCCCATACCACCTATTATCCCGTTTTTCCTTGGAATACCTTTAGTGTTTTCCCAGAATGCTGAAATGTTTACCCCTGCAGAGGGAGGAATGTACAAACTGGCTATGAGTATGCTCCAGCTGGAAAACACAGGTTATATTTTATTATGGCGCCCACAGAGGTCATGTGATCAAAGAAGATATTTGTGCAAGTCTGTGATTGGATCAATAAATTAAGTGGCCTAATAAACTGATATGTCCAGAATGCTATTAGCTTAGCCTTCCCAGAGTGAAGATTTCCCAAATGTAGTTTTCTTTAAATAGTAATGTTTCACTCCAACACTCATGTCAAGGTGCTGTATTGTAAGAAGCAACAATATTACAGAGAAGTGCAATGATCCCCTATGAGCAGCAAAAGGAGGAAGAGCTCCTTTTGAACAGGAGGAAACTTCTGGGAGAAGCAGGAGCAACCGTTTGCTGCAGCTGATTGGGGGTGAGAGAAAAAAAAGGAGCACAAAAAACAAACACAACAGGAGAAGGACTGACAGCAAATCTTAGATGAGGCAGCTTCAGTATAAAAATGTCCTCGCTGCCTTTGATAAACATACACAACCCTGGTAGGAAATGAGGTAAAGCTGCTTTAGGGCCTTCTTTTCCAAGGTGTCTTCCTGCAGAGGTAAACACACTGATAAGAACTAAAACACATGAGAGAAAGGAGGCGGGGTTTGTTTCTCCTGGTCCACGGGCTTCAGTTGCCTCCTGCAGCCGTCTCTTCAGTTCTTGTGTGGTTCTGCAAAAGAAGTCAGACAGCGTTGTTAACAGATCATCTGCAGAGAAATGGCTTAGCCTTTTTGCTAAAGCATATAGTTGGGCTGGACCAGGTGACCCTGAATCCTCCCTTAGTTATGCTGCAATAGATGTAGGCTGCCGGGGATTCCCATGATGCATTGAGTTTTT